CTCTGGACTTGAGTCCGGACCTGAACCTGAATGTGAGTCCAGGTACACAGCACTACTCATGGACCACACCTTTTCTTGTGAAAAACTGGATGACATACTGTCGCCCTTTAGTCCCTCTCTCTTGTCTTTCTCTCCTTTCTCTTCTTTTCTTAGAGCCTAACTTTTTGAGTCGTTGAAACATGGTATGACACAGTACGTAGGCTAAGTACTAGCATCCCTCCTCAGTCCTTGCATGCTTTCACTCTCTGCAAGCGCCGGTGCCGCACCGCGTTTGGAGGCAGGACCAAACCATTACATGTAAATAGAAGGGGGTGTACAGAGGCTTTGGATAATTAACTTTTGGAAGAAAATAAGTTAAATGAATCGTAAGTTTAGTGAGTACTTTATCAATATAACGTTCTATTAATGTTAATTATTGAGGATTGATGGTTACTTACATTTTCTTTTCTTAATGTTCTAAACATTTTGGGGCCCCCGTCAGTCACGGGCCCTTTGAATCGTCCTAACTTTTCACCCCCTTATGGCGCCCCTGTGTACATATACCAATATACCGATTGAATCAAATATAAATGTCAGCCGAATTAGTGTTGATACTGCAAGGAGACGTATTGTGTGAAGAGAAATTGAAGATTTTGTTTAATTGCTGATATATTTATGATCCACGTCACATATTCAGTTTCGGCGGCAGTTATTCCTGTTTGTCTAGAAGTCCTCTCACCAGGCCTCTATAAATAGCGAACTACGGAAGATCTGTAATATTTAATTTCACCGAACCGTGTATTACAATGCCGTTATGTGATGACCTCCAAAGAGAAAAGCAAGCAAACTCGGAATAAAGTATTATAATTTTATTTTGTAAATGTTTTCGGATTTCACATCAACAGGAAGTCCAGTTAACTAACAATTTCCCTACTATAGGTCCTGATGTTTCAAAATAACTTGATTCTCCATTAACCTCAGATGAGATCATCCTCGCTATAACATCAGGACCTATAGTAGGGAAATTGTTAGTTAACTGGACTTCCTGTTNTGTGTGTGTGTGTGTGTGTGTGTGTGTGTGTGTGTGTGTGTGTGTGTGTGTGTGTGTGTGTGTGTGTGTGTGTGTGTGTGAGAAAGAGAGAGCGAGAGAGAGAGAGTTTGTCTGTGAGAGAGAGAGAGTGTGTGTGTGTGTGTGTGTGTGTGTGTGTGTGTGTGTGTGTGTGTGTGTGTGTGTGTGTGTGTGTGTGTGTGTGTGTGTGTGTGTGCGCGTGCGCGTGTGTGTGTGAGAAAAAGAGGGAGATAGATTTTGTTGAGGTCTCATTCAACTTTGAGCTTGAAAGGCTGATGATTTGCATAAACTGCATGCTGTCTGAGGTGCTCGGGGGTGGCAGCCATACTGAGAAAAGATATGAGGGAACATGAAAAAAAAAGAAAGCACGATCCTGCTTTGTGAAGCTGCAGGAAGAAAGAGGAGGTTTGAATAAGAGAGAGGGTGAAAATTGGCAAAGAAAGGGTCTTACCATGTCTCCCAGTGGGATTAAATTGTCCGGGAACCTCTTTATATATAATTTGGTGAATCTGGCAGCGGCATGGCTGCGGGCTGATCTCACATCAAGCTCCCGCCTGAAATTCAGAAAAAAGAGGACAATGTGCTGGGATGATGCAACCAGTTGGAGAAACGTGTAAATGCTAAGAGTGAACATCACTTTATCTGACTCTATACATGTAAATGTTGAATTGCAGAGCTTATTCAGATTTCTTATGTTTATGTCTGTTTTAATTTTTTAGGAAAGGACCATAATGATGCAGCTGTGCAGCGGAGGCTCGTCAGAGCGTGTATCAGCGTGTTAATCACACGGACTCACCGGACAACACATGGGGCTTTGTCTCTGTGCGACTCAGCTGCAAATACAGCTCAAGCCACAGTTCATATACTGTCTGCCATTAAACCTTTGCATAAATGAGTTTTGATTCTGAAAAAGAACATATTCTAGATATAATTATATTCAAGTGTTAAGTCTTTGCTTTTTGAGAATTACTTTTGAAAAATGTGTAAAAATGCAAATGGATTTGATTGAAATGTGAGCTTTGATTGATGACACAGCTTCAAGTAATATGGACTTTGTTTTTTGTAGTTGAATATGTGTGATGTCATCCGCATTTGGATGAACACATGTCCCTTAAAATGCTGCTGTCTCTGTTCATTTACAATTTGTGTAAGTTAATTTATTAAAATGGTATTATAGCATTTGAGATTATCAAGTGATCTGAATTACATGTTTTGCTCTTCCCTTAATAAAATAAATGTTTGAGAAATATGAGTACTTTGTTATTATTTACAGTGTTTTTGGTTATCAGCACCTTGGACAGAGACGTTTTAGACTGCATGTTACATTTGTATAAAAATGACTCTTGAAACTGCAGGGTGGTACAAGGAAGGAAATAATCTTTTTTATATAAAAATAGACGATACAATGTGCAATATGTTTACCGTATACTACCACCTTTAATACTTTCACCTGGTCGCTATATTTCTTTACTGTTTCTGGTACTGGATGTTTATTTTGTAAATTGTGTTACTTTTCACATTTTCTGCATGCTTCTTAAGTTATACTAAGCTACCTTTGGCTCTACTAACGTGGGAACAGATGTAAATGTCCCCTCTGTTGGACAAATACAGGCATTCTGATTCTGAAACCAGGGAATAGGTAAATACTGTTGGTAGAAAAGGGTCCATGAATGAAAAATTGCACACGATAAGTGATGAATAAATGTAAACTAAATTTATATGTTGTCTGAAACTTTCAATACAATGTTATTAAAATGAGTTTTTAAGCTTAATCGTAGGCCTCGGCTAAGTGTCGCACTAACTTGCTCAGATTTAGCCATCTGATAAATCCTCTAAAAATGTTATTAAAATAACATATGTAACGAAACATATGAATTCAAAGAAATAATATAAATAATACAAGCCTAACTTAAGACCTCACCTCTCATCTGTACCACAAATCAAGTCACTTTTACATCTTTCTCTAATGTCATTCAATAATGAGATGATGTAATCGCACATGATGGCATAATTGACCGGCTTTTGTGTAGTACTTCACGTCTGTTGTGTTGAACCTCAGATTAGTAAACTGCCTCCCACATGGTGACGACCTGGTGTCCGCAGGGCTGCAGTGTGCTGCCGGACACAGGGAGCACGACCTCTCACTCTCCTGGGACACAACTTGACCCGGGACAAGCCGACACACACGTGTGTGTACCAGTTCCTCTGATTCTTCAGTTACTCTACCCAGCGTATTTAAATAAAGTCACACAATCATGTTGCCATATATTACGCTTTCTAACAGCAGAATATCGTACTTCAGTATCTCATATAAAAAAA